GGAGCCTATTTTACAATTCCTTTTCATTCCCCGAGGGCCCAGAATCCCCCCCCCCCACACACACATTGTCATTATGTGCCTTCGACTTTAGTGGAAGTACGTTTTACTACTGAGTACTCTTAACTCATCCAATCTCAGTTTTGATGGGTGTTGACCGAGTGTCAGCCGCAGTTGTAAACTACTGAGGCCATGGTGAAGAGCAGAGGCAGGGATATCTGTTGTTGGGAAAGCATGGTAAGGAATAAGTACCAGGCCAGGCTTGGTAGCACATGCCTGTAACCTGCACAACCAGGAAACAGATGAACTAGGATCATACTACTGAAGCCAGCCTTTTTTCCATGTCAAGTCCCAAGCCAGCCACTGTCTCAACAACACAAAATAAGACAGGGAAGTAGCAAGTGTAGGTGTGTGTGCACATCCCCAGGGGAGCGCATTTCTTCCTCCCGTGCCGGCCTGCAGCAGGCTCTGCCTGGCAGGCATGGCTACCCTGTTACCTCAGGGTTGAGAGCCTGACAGGCATGGCTACCCTGTTACCTCAGGGTTGAGAGCCAGCATCATTTAACAATTTCCACACTGCTATTGTCAGTCTGGTAGGAAGTGGTGCACAGAGGACAGATGGCCCAGAGTGCCAGGCAATGGTAAGGAACTGCCTGTGTGCTGGACACTGCGTCACCGTAGGTCACCTGCCAGTCAGAGTTCTGCAGAAATGTCCATGAATGTGTTACTAAGGACACCACAGTGAATGAGTTCTGTGGCCAGAGGAAATGCCTAGCCAGGGCCCCTAATAGAGGGAAAGAGGCCAGCATGGCTGCCTATGCAGCAGCAGGGGGAGGCGCGGAGGTAAGGTCGGGGCAGCAGAGGAACCAGGCCACTTGGCACAGAAATGTTGTGTGAGACAGGGGTGGCGTCTCCCACATTCAGGGGAGGTTTCCCCCTATCAGTTAGCCCTCTCTGGAAACAGCCTCATGGACACAACCAGACCTATTCCCTAGGCATCACTTAATCCATTGAAAACATTTTAGAGCTAGTGAGATGATTCAGTGACCAAAGTTTCAGGCATGAGACCTTAGTTCGGAACTCAGCATCAACATGAAGAGCCCGGCACAGCCACACACCGGTTTGTTAACCTCAGCCTCATGGAGACAGAGACATGAGCATCTCTGGGTTGCTGGCTGCCAGTTTGTCTCCAGCTTCAATATGAGAACCTGTCTCCGATGAACAGGTCAGAGACAGATGGAGTAGGGCACCCTGCCCGCCCCCAAGTGCTGTCATCCACCATCTATATGGAATTCAGCTGGCACTGGACACTTTAACGTCTATATTTTAACTAATGTTATGCAAGCCACTTTCTGCAGCTGTCGAGAGGGGCTGCTGTGAGGGCCGTAGCCAAGGTGAATGCTCCATATTGTTCAGGCTTTCCAAGAGTCACTTTAGCTTCCCTGCCGAGAGTACAGGACACAGGTAGACACAGGCAGGCCTGGGCAGCTAATGAGATGACCCACGCGCACAGGAAGGCAAAAGCTCAGACCGCAGCATCAGCAGAGGAGGTGTTAACACAGACACAGTGTGGATTGGGAACGGCAGAGAAAAGTCAAGGATGATTCCTGGGATAATGGCTTGGACAGCAACACTGGAGTAAGTAGCCACTAATTAAAGAGAGGAGGCTGTGAAGGGAGGGAATTTGGAGCTCATGCCGGACATGCTGAACTGATCGGTCAAGTAAAGTGAGGTACAATCATGAGATGGCTGTATTCTATATCATTTTCATTAAAAAAAAAATCCAATAACAATTTTAAAAAGTCAACCCATCACCGGGGACAGATATTTTAAAATGGACTTGTTTTGTAAGTGTTTAAAGGTTTTTCCTGTCCGAGTGACCTTTGAAATGTGCACAGGGAAGGAGCAGCCAGGATTGGAATTCAGTTTCCTGGTGTCTTCTCCAATATCGGAATAGCAAAGACGTACTCAGCCCTGTCACCCTGTCTCCATAGCAATAAGACCCGTTTCCCACAGATGTTTCCCGTCCTCTCCGTTCACGCTCTCCATAGCTCCTCATTGCAATAAAAAAAGTCTGACTACTCAACCCACCCCTCCATAATTCCTCAAGAAGGCCTGTTAGCCATACTCCTCCATGGCCCCTAGAGCAGCCCCCGCCTCCGGGTTCCTGCCCTGACTCTCTTCACTGTTGAAGTGTAAGCCAAACCAACCCTTTCCTTCCCAGTCTGCTTTTAGACATGGCGCTTCATGGAAGCAATAGGGTTACCGAAAAGGACAACATTGGTACAGGATGGTAGGGTACTGCTGTGACGGGCCTGACCTTGTGTTTTGGGGAGGATCATGGAAGGACTTTGGAACCTTGGGCTAGAAAAGCCACTGAGTGTTGAGAGCTGGGTGGGCTGGTCTGTGGGAGCTTGGGAGACAAGAATCCTGATGTCACTGTGTATGATGGAAGCCCGGCTTAGGAAGTTCGAAGGCTGTCAGAGCCATTTGTTAGTTTGATTTAAGATGTTGTGGCTCTGGCCAGCTGGGGCTGACTTAGTTGTGATTAACAAGAGACCAGCACCATTGAAGGGAAACCTTTGCTTTGCTCGGACAACGGATGCTGGTTAGGGGGGGGCTGAGGAAATAGCACCCCTGGGGCGGAGCCTTCAGCAAGTGCGTCAGAGAGCACACGGAAGGCTGCACTTGGTAATGCAAGAGTCACCCGGGTGTTACTGATTTGAAGGCACGAGGGGTCATGGAGATCAGCTGAGGCTTGGCAGTGTGAGAGGCCAGAAGTGTGTTGCAGGTGACCCAGCTCACACACTCCTGGTTTATTAAGGACGTTAGCTCCGCCTTTGTACCCCCTCCCAGGGTCCCATTGGCTCAGGCGGCTGACCCTGCTGCATGTCCTTTCCTCATTGGCGGCTCTGGTCAGGTGTCTCTCCACCAGCATCTCTGGGAGTAGAGGCAGGCGTGGCAGCTTGGCTCAGGGAGGAAGTGCCTGATGCGCATGCTCATACGTGCTGGCCTGGGCACTGGGGCCAGAGAGACCGCGGCTTGGGCAGGCTGACCGCAGTTTCTCCTACACCGAGGAGGCCTTTGGTAACGGTGCAGCTTCTGAGGCAGTGGCAGGCCTAGGGTTGAAGTGGCTTGTGGCCATGATGACATCCCAGAGTTTGGAGATGCCCGTGCATGGGATGACCTAGACCAGCAGCGACGGTGGAGTGGACCATGGCTAGCTTAGGGTATGGGCTATGCGTGGCGCACAGTGTGGAGCTGGAGATGACCCGCGCGCCCCGTCAAGGAGCCCAGAAGATAACAGATGAATCCCAGGCATGGGCCGTTGAGTGGTTCACACTATTGGAGCCTGGTTTTGCTTTGATCTGACTGTAAGTGTGCTCTGGCTCTTCCCTCGTGAAGTAAGAATTTATTTACCTTACTTCTTTATTTTATAGGAGCCCACAGTTTAGAGTCATTTGATTTCAAGAGAGACTTCAGGTTTTTTTGTTTGTTTGTTTGTTTTTTGAGGCAGAACTGTTTTTTGAGTCTGAGACTGTGGGACTTTTAAGATTGTAAAATATTTTATAATGTGATGTTTATATTAATGTGTGATCTTGGGGATGAACAAGAAAGGGAAGGTGGTGATTTTACAATGATGTTTTTGTGTTGACAAGGGATCAATTGGGCTGTATAGTTTTATTTCAATTTAACACTAGCTAGAGTCGTCAGAGAGGAGGGAATGTCAATTAAGGAAATGCCTCCATAAGGTGGGGCTGCAGGCAAGTCTGTAAGGCATTTTCTTCATTAGTGACTGATGGAGGAGGACACAGCCCATTGTGGGTGGTGCCATCCTGGGCTGATGATCCTGGGGTCTTGAAGAAACCAGACTGAGCAAGCCATAAGAAACAAGCCAGTAAGCAGCTCCCTCCATGTCCTCTGCATCAGCTCCTGCCTCCAGGTCCCTGCCCTGACTTCCTTCAGTGATGAACTAAGGTGTGGGAATGTGAGCCACACGAACTCTTCTCCCCAGCTTGCTTTTGGTCATGGTGTTTCATCACAGTAGCAGTAACCCTGGCAAGGACACCTGAGAATTGCAGTGGCCATAGCAGCCCCGGCTTCTCTGACTATCACAGACTAGGGTCCCCGAGGAGAGTCCTCACTCTACACAGTGTGCCCAGGGCTGTCTCTGATCAAAGGCTTTGCTGGCTGCAAGTGGCTGAAGGCATGACTCAGCCGTTTTCCTTTAACCCACGGCCTTGAAAGAAAGGAATCTTTCTCTTTCCTGACACAATTAGCCAGCATTCCGTTTGTTTGTTTTTTCTTTCTGAAATCTGTGTGTGTGTCTGTGTCTCTGTCTCTGTGTGTATGCATGTATGTGCACCAGCCTGTGTGAGTACCATAGTACATACATGTGGAGATCAGAGGACAGCTTTGGAGTCATTTCTTGCCTTCCACCTTATTTTGAGGCAGGGTCTTGTGTTTGTGATGCCTGTAAGTTTCCAGGCAATTCTCTGCCCCCCCTCCCCCCTCCCCCACCCCACGCAGTAGGAGTGTTAGGGTTACAGGTGTGCTCTATGGAACTGGACCTCCTGTGAACTCCAGTAATCAAATGCGGATCACCTGGCTTCTGTGGCAAACGCTTTTCCTACTGAGCCCTGTTTCCTTTTCTTGATCATCATTTTCTCTTGCCATTATACTTTTGGCCTGGTTGAATTCTAAAGTTCTGATATGGCTACATTTAGGATCACCTGCAGCTCTGACCTCTGTAATGGAACTGCACATCCCCAAGGGTCGTGGGGAGGAAAATAAACTGTAGTTGGGAATGATCTATAAACCACAGCCTCTTTTATCTAGAGCTTTTCTGTATTGTTGTTTTTAATTATAACCGTATTTTTAAAGTGGCACACGCTTCCAGAGAGCAGGTTTATTGTTGATTTTCAATAATGGTCATTTTTATTACTCGAAGAAGTCCTGATTAACGGAAAAGTTACATGCATAGCGTTTCCTGTGTTTTGCAGGCCTGGAGAGAGACAAGTTTGACAACAAGACGGTGTCCTTCGAGGAACACATTAAGTCAGAGCACAACATGTGGCATTATTTGTACTTCATCGTGCTGGTGAGGGTGAAGGACCCGACAGAGTACACAGGGCCTGAGAGCTACGTGGCTCAGATGATCACGGTGAGTGAGGGCTGCCTCTGCCCGTCCTGATTCTCCAACTGTGAGATCAGAGGCCTGTCTCTCTCCCTGCCCCTCTCTTAGGTGAGGGATGCTCTAGCTCTGTTTTTGTTGTTGTTTGTGTGTGAGCCTTTAAATAGGCTATCGGTCTCTGGAGAATTTCCACATTGTTGACATCATCCTTGTTATCCAATCGAATCTGTGTCTCCAGTGCACAGATAGCATCTTCTCGGGGATCATCTGTGTAGTGAAGTTTCCCACCAATGTCTCTGACCTCGGACCCCTTAACCCTGACCCCAAACCTCCAGTCATCACTGGACCTCTCAGTTCCCAAATCTAGAAGTTTCGTATTGTCACATGCAAACAAGAGTCATGCTTCAAAAGATTCCTTGAATTTCCCAAATCAACAATTCAAAACGTCTTGTGTGGGCATGTGGGTGTTCTAGGGGAGCCTCTTGGGAGAATGACGATTTCTGGCTTTAGAGGACAGCTGGCCCTTCTGTTCAGTCCTAAGAATGGTGTAGGAGAGTGAGGTAAAGAGCGAGGTGAGGGGAGGGAACTAACAAGAGGGGGAAATGAGGGACAAGGAAAGGGGTTAAGGAGACTGGCTCTTGATCGGACCCCGAAGGAGTAAGTCGCCTACTTAGATAAACAAAGACATAATACTGGCCACAGTCTGCTATGCATTCATCCATCCAGCCTTCATCCACCCATCTACCTATCATCCATCCATCCATCCATCCATCTGGGCACTGTCCTATTAAAAGTGTGGGTTGACACAGTGTTGACTTGCTTGCCTGTCGGTAGCTGTGTGTCTCCAGAAGACTGTGCGTAAATAGAGCTTTCATACCTTGGCAAGTCTTTAAGACATTCTCATTTCTGACTTCTGATTATGGCTGCTTGCTCTTCATTCTTCCTTTGAGATGGGAAGAATCTAGTATTTTGTCTGCTCCCCCACATTTACCTTTCTAAATGCAGGGGAAAGGTAAATGAGTCCCCTTAGGAACTCTGCCGTGGCTGTGGTTACACATTCTGGACAGCATCTGTGGGAAACATTTCCCATCTGCTCACCCAAAGGACAGCATCTTAGGAGCAGCAAACAGAACAGAGATGACTGGACAAAGTGTGCAAGGGTTTTAGCCACCCCCCAGCAACTGGGGGACATTTCCCAGTGTCATCTGAGGAGATGTATTGGGGGCTTTGGTGATATTGCTACTTAATTGACAAAGGGCCCACACCAAACCAGAGCTGTATGTAAGAGGAGGTCCCTGTGTATTCAGGAGATGGCTGTATCCTGGTCCCTGGGATCCCTTAGCTACCTGTCCTGTGACCATGGCTTTGAAGGGCCACCCTGATAGTATATCACACCTCTACACTCCTCTGTTCATTCAACCTTTAATGACTACTTCCTAATCTCTGCAGTATTGGTAAAGACAGTTTAATTAATGTTTTTGGTAGCACAATAGTCTATTTTAACAGACACACACATAAATTTATAATTTTATGGAAGACCTTTGTAAGGTATTGCTGACTCTTTGCTGTGCATACAGCCTAGGCAGTTGATATCCGAAATAAATATTAGAAGCAGTTCGGTAGACAGGGGTTGTCCCCAACATGCTAAGGACTATGCTGAAAGTTTGATGTTTACAGCTAAATAAGAAGTTATTGCTTCCTTAGGGAAGCTTACAGCATTTACTGAATGAATAAGTAAAACAAAAAAAGTGAATTAATGAATGAGTAATTTCCTTCTAGCCCTTTCATATCTGGACATAATTTATAGAACTATGCACCAAAATAGCCACTCCGGGAGGGTGAAATTGGAATTTCTCATCAGGGAAGCAGGTTTTCCTTTCTTTAACACCAGAAGGTGGAGACGCAGCTCAGGATGCTGTCGCCCACGCCATCAGACCAGTGCCTTCATTCACTGTGGCCTGCCCCTGCTGTGTGGCCACCAAGCACCCCATTCCACACATCTCAGGAGGAGCCTGGAGAGAATGCATGAGGCTTTCAGTGTAACTCAGCCTCAAGGGTGGATCCTGCCCTGATGCCGTAGGCTGACTGGAGAAAGAGAGTTTGTTAGTTTCCTACTGCCGTGGTAAAATACCCAAAGGGCAGCTTGAGAGAGAGGGGGCGGGGGAAGGGTCTTCCTCAGATAGACCGCTCTGGAAATGTCCTCAGAGGCACACCCAGAGTGTGTCTTCTAAGTCCTGTCAAACTGAACGTGAAAATGTGTGATCGCAAGTGGCATCTTCTTTCGCATGAGACATAAGAAAGCTGATCACTCGCCGCTGTACCCACACAAGGAACCAAAAACCAACCAAACAAAAAAGTACCGTGTTTCCATTTTCCAGTGCTGACTTCTGAGTCAGCAACTTGAAATCGGTCTTGTTTAGCTAAACCGTATTTATGAGCGGTAACCGGCAAGGGCAGGGGATGTTTGGGTTCATGGAAGACATCAAATCGTCTGAGATTGACTTGCAGTTTGCTTTGTCCAGTGCCGTTTCCAACTGCATTTTTGCGTTATTGTTATGTGTTATAATTACAAAATTATATGCTCCGATCCTGTTCTTTCTAATCTGCACTGATTTTGTAAATTGGATCTAATGAATCCAATTTTGTAACTGCTTCATTTTTAACTGAAGCCTGTTTTAAAGATTCTGGGGGCTTTAATAAGACTCTCTTTAGAAATGTTTCTGTGGCAAGACAAAGGGGTCTTTGCGATTCAAAACACATTTAAGTCGGTGCGCACGTTCCGACAGCCACCGCCTTTGCTGCCCACAATGTAAGTGTCCTCAGTTTGGAAGGATCTGCTCTGGTTCCGGCCTGGGGCTGCACTGGCAGTGCAGGAGCTACCCAGTGCAATGTTCTTTTCTACTTAGCATGCGTGTGGAAGGCCCATAAATTGCTACCTTTTAACATGCGTGTTCACCCCTGTATGAACCCCTTCGGCTGTTGTTGGAAAACAGAAATTGAGGATGTAGCGGCGTGGCTACCTCCCACCGTGTGGACCCATCATCACCCCACACTCTGTTCCAGTAGTAGGTGAGGGCAAAGGGATTTGAGCGGCACAGTGTCAAAATGCCTTTGGTGGGTGGAAGTGGGCTGCGGGGGTGGGGGTGGGGGAGGGAGCAGGGAGGAGTGTGCGCAGCTCCAGAGTACTAGCTGAGCGGAGTCCAGGAAACAAGCCCGTGGGAGTGGGGTAGAGGCACACGCTGTACCCCTGCTTGTGAATCGTGCCGTTGATAAAATGCGTATAGAATCAGAACACAGGACAGAAGCCAGGTGAACTGAATTAAAACCCCAGAGACCCCCCCCCCCCCACTGTCCCTGGCTGTCCTAGGGCAGGCATTCGTGGTGGGGACGCCTTTGAGTCGGGCTCGGAGGGAGAGGTGACCTTTGTAGGTCTCGAGATAGTGGGTAATTTGTTGACAGGGTGTTGTTCTGTGTTATCTTTGTATTCCCATGGTCCTGTTCCAAAAGCCAAACGTGTTCTGCACATGAGCAAAGCCCCCTTGAGGAATTGCAGTGTAGTCCAATAAAAACATCACAAGCTAAAGATACCACAGAGACAGATGACCTTGACTGTCTATCAAGGCTGCACAACATCCAAGACAGCACCGCCCCCGTTACACATTGAAGGAGGCCGGAGCTTAGAGATGGCCTGCCCAGTGTAGCACAGGGAACCCAAAGGGCTGCCGTGACCACAGTATACCACACGCAGGAACCACGCAAGCCTTGGTCAGGACCCCTGTATAACCCAGAAGCCCTGCTTCCTCGGAGAGCAAGCCAGCCCAGCTGCCCCTTGTCACCCAGCAGCACTCATGGTCCCCTACAGAGGAGCAGTTGTAAGAATCCAGTCCACAGGGCAGGGAGTAGACCTGGCTGGGAGACAGGAAGTCAGATGACAGTCCTGCGGTGGCCGGCAGGGAAGCTGAGAGGAATTCTAATAGGAAGAGCGAACTGGCTAGGAGCTGGCTGGCGAGGGAGGGCTCCCCAGGCCGACAGGCGCACCGTGCCTGCAGAGGCTGCCTCTGTTAACCTGACAAGGAAGGGTTTTCTGGGGGACACGCCGCACCAGACCCTCCAATGATCTGTTCTACAGAGCCCCGTCTGCCAGGGAGACGTAAAACAAGTCACATGAGTCATTGTTCCCCCGGGGTGGAGTCCCCCCGGGGTGGAGTCCCTCCGGGACCTCCCGCACAGGCTGCTCCCAGCCTTCCCTGGTTCCTTTCACCATAGCCAGCTACACTTCAGCTACCTGGCCTTTCAGGGCTTGTTTCTTTGTTCAGAAAACACTCTGTTCGCCTGGCCACGGCCTTGGCACTTGTAGCCTGGCCCGTTGGTGTTGCCGGCACTGCCTGCCACCCTCCATCCCGTTGCGTCATCCCCCACCCACCCACCACCGCCGCCACCTCCTTTTCTGGGTTTTGAGACCAGGGCTTACTCTGTAGCACAGGCTGTCCCCAAGCTTACAGTCCTCCTGCCCAAGCCCCACGCATGCATGCCAGGGTCATAGGTGCAAGCCTCCATAATGGGCCCCATCCTCTAGCGTTTCTGTTGAAGCCATGAATTACTGCACGCACGGGTTTCCTTATTCTTTACTGTTATGGCACACTCCGCTAGTACATTCACAGGATGGTTTTGTGCTCTGGTGTCTTCCGAGTTAGTGTTTGGTGCACCGTGGCCACTTTGCTGAACAAAACAAACAGGGCAGACAGCCACTGGCGTAGAGAGGGTAGAGCAGTGACTTCTGCACCAGAGACGGTTCACAGACGTGACTGTGAGTGAAGTGGAGCCTCTAAATAAAAATGGGGATTTTGACAGAAGGGACGGCAGGGAATATTGTCCAGGCAGTATATGCACTGGGAGGGAGGGAGGGGGAAGGAGAGAGAGAGGGAGGGAGGATCAGAGGGAGGGAGAATGGGAGAGCTCCAGAGAAAGGTGTCTAAGCTTGCAGGGTTGTACATAATCTTATTCACATAATGCACCTGTCACAGGAAAAC